ATAACATGTACAAAATAATGACTAACTATATATCCTTTATTATGTTCTTCTCCTCTATTTATAACAACTGAAGGACACATACCGTGTACAAAATAATGACTAACTATATATCCTTTATTATGTTCTTCTCCTCTGTTTATAACAACTGAAGGACACATACTGTGTACAAAATAATGACTAACTATATATCCTTTATTATGTTCTTCTCCTCTATTTATAACAACTGAAGGACACATACTGTGTACAAAATAATGACTAACTATATATCCTTTATTATGTTCTTCTCCTCTATTTATAACAACTGAAGGATATATGTTGTTAAATTTATTATCACTTTCTGCAGTGAAGATACACCTTAAGTATCCATGTGTTTGATCACCTCTAAATAGCTGTATTCTTGATTCCAAGACCTGTGCTAACCTGTACCTACTTGTAATTTCAATAATCACTGTTATACTTAGTATTTGTATGATTTCTAACCAATCTCATGAAGCAATGCTTACTTTAATTACAAAAATTCAGTAGTTTTAGTAATCTTGTGAAAATTTATATGAAGACACCCATGGAATGGTAATAGAATTTCCACCTTTTTGCAGGTTTTATACTATGATGTGTATATGATAAAAGTTTAAAAGTATTAAAAGTTTAGATTTAAAAAAGTAACAATTTTAACTCATTGTACCTGAAGATCTCTTTCATATTAAATAAAGAATAGTTCAAAAATGTCTTTCAAAAACCAAAAACAAGGTGAAAATAGGAAGATTAGCTTTGTGAAAATGATCAATTAGTTGTATGCAATCAATTAATGAGCCTAATGATTAGTCAATTAGTAGATTGCACCAATTGTCACTTTTTCAGAGAGTTCTAAAAAAAAAATTATCTGTTAACATCTCATGTTCAGGATTTTCATTAAGTTTAAAACTGAAAAGTATCAAATCTTTTACAATTTACTTCCAAAGGTTTAGGAGGCAAGTGTGATATGACTAGAGGGGGGGGTTACCCTTAATACAAATAAAGACGTATCTGGCCAAGCCTATGATTTGTTTTAACATTACACTTAGCTATCTTGTCCCATTGTTTGTATGAATTGATGTTAGATCAGAATTGTTTGCATAAATATATGGATTTTTTTTGTTTTGTCAGCTACCAAAAAAGGGGATTTAGTTGTTCAGCAGGGGCCAATGTTTGATTTTATTAACATCATACTTGATCAATTTTTGGTAGTTTCCAAAACAAGATGCAAAATGTACTCTATGTAAATAACAATCCCATTCCTTACCAATCACAAAATTATAAGAAAAAGTGTTGGTTCAGTATGACATCATCCACTCTTCAGCTGCAAATAAAGGAGGGAAAGGCAACTAATGTGAAGAAACGTTATCAAATAATCATTCAATATCTTGGACGTCCCTTCATGAATATGAGTTACACAAAACCAAAGTGACAGTTGGAATTCTTGTGCCCCAAGACATGAAAAAATCAGACTGAACCTCTTGTAAATGTTTTCATATCTTTAAAAAATTTCAATAAAGATGTTGTATCCTCTTTATAAAGGTAATGTTTTCTTAATGAAACCCTTGCATGTTCACATTAATGTAGAAGAGAGAAAATGACAACTGTTTCATCTACGCAAGTAAATTCATCAAGGACCTAACTATGACTTTTACAGTCTGTTACAAAGCTTGTATACAACAGAGCAGATAGAGGTAACAATACAAATTTTACTTCTAGGAGTGTTCTAGTCTAAGTATCCTGTAAAGCCAAAACTCTAATTTTAATTTTTATGTAAAATAAATGAACAATCAAGTCTAAAAGATTATACAAAAACTATATATTGTGCATCCTTATAAGATTTATTAATGTAATTATGAAACATGAAATACAGTGATGTCCAGTTAGATAAATTTAACACACTTCCTCTATGTAATATCCAATACAAAAATTACAAATTTAGCAAACATTACCGAACTTCGAAGAAACACACCTGTTAGCTGATCTACTGTATACAGATAACAACTGTACATATATAATACATATCCGCTGCCAACAATCAAGCTTATAAGCACACTAATTGCTTGTACAAATTAGTTTATATATTATACATGTATATTAAAAGATACATGTTAAAACAGCTAAATAACTTTCACAAAAATTTCACATATTGAAAACTTGTAAAATACATACCTAAGAGCATGAAAAACTTGAGAAAAAAAAATTTTTTTTAAACATATTGCTATAGCTAAGAGGGAGGGGATAAGATTACATTGTACATAAGACACTGGAAATGTTCTGAATTTATCATTGGTGAGAATAGAAAGATGCATGCACACACACATGTATAATAAACTTAAACTATAAGTCTAAAAGGAAAATTTCTAGAAAGCAGAATTCCTGGCCCTAAGATTTCTTTTAAAACCTTGAAGAAACTTTAATACCAGATACAAACTGGAAGTAATAAATTAATTGCACAAAACAGTAAAGCCATATTCAATCAGTAATAATGATCAGATATTTACTGTAATATAGTACAGTTTACATATTGCATAGCATACTAGTAAAGAAAGGGAAAAACAGCAACTATCATGTCAACTGTGTAGGTTCATTTTTTTAAACTTTTTATTAGTTATTCATTGGTATACAAATAAACTCATGTTTATATCAACTCTTAAAAGTGTTTGGTTTATTCACAACACTTGTGACAAGGAGGGTTAAATTCTTTATAGCAACAGAAAAAGGCAAAAGAAAAAAATGCTAGCACCACTCAATATGAATACCACTGACGTGTGTACAAAAAATACAATATGCATGGAATCATTATGTATGAGAATGAAAGCAGCTTGGATAAAGGTGGAGACAAGTAACAATGGGGGTTCCTGTTTAATGGATTTTTTCCAATCTACAAAAGGAGAAAGGTACATTCTTTCAATCAGGACTAAAAGGTTTTAGATGGGACACTTGAAACAGATGTGATAAGAGATCAAGTACTAGAAAATTTTACTTTCAAATGACTGCATGAGAAACTGTTACAGTAAGAAGGCTTAACATCAGAATTCATCTATTGCAGTAGCTCAAATATTTTAATTTGTGCAGACAGAATCAAAAGTGCTATCAGCCGTGCATGGTGGAGCAAAAGACGTATAGGTCTATTATACAAGACAATCCTGCAGAACAAGCAATTACGATGTTAAATATAAACGACTCATGTAAGAGACAAGAAATATGGAAAGAGTGGAAGCAAACAGTGATATGCCATATTGTTGAGGATTTTCAACACACACATACACACAAGGTAAATATGGAGCAAGAAATACTAAACTGTATTGTAACAAGTATCAAGCTTGTAGAAAGAAAGTTAGAAGTGAACAAGAAACAGAAAAAAATACACACAAGATTAAACACGCAGGTAAACCTGTAGGATTTGTCTAAGTCTATTTCAGACACTGCTTCAGGTTCTGAAGAATTTGTCTACTAATTAATTTAGAAGAAAAAGATTCTGTGACAATTTATGGGCAAAAGCTCAAAATGATAACTGACATAGAAAGTAAAAGAAAATATCAGTGATGAATTTTTAAAAAAAAATTTTCTCAAGTTGAACAACTCAACTGTTGCCAACAAAGAATATTTTTTTTGCATGTACTCATATAACATCACTACATTGCTTGGGATATTTCAAAAGAGGTTTGATTTGGAAGATTAATGTTGTGTATGACAATGAATGTGTGATCATAGGAAATGATAATGTTTCGCTTGGCAGAAAGACCAGTTTTCACCCACACATACTGAACATCAGAAATGACAAAAAAAATAGTAATTTACTTGTCATTAGTATTAGACTTATTACATTTTTAACATACAATTATATATCTAGTCTATTATGAACTTTTAAGAATTAGAAGAGTGTATGGTAATAGTATTTCATCCACACTATGTTCTCCATATCAAATACCAAGGATAAGGTTAACTTAATCCAAAGCTCATCAGGCCAGCTGAGACACAACAAATACAGTAGTAGTCAGAATGTTATTTATATAAGCCAATTGTTATGATGTAAGTACCTTTTTTAAGCTGGCAAAGCATGATTATAATCAATTTATTTGTCATCGAACATTAGTATAAAGCCTATTATATGTTTCAACATTTCACTTTATACCTAGTCCCTGATAGATTCTGAGGTAAAGTTGATTGAGCCTGGTAACCCCAAACTACTAAAGTTGCAATTACAGCTAAGCTGGTCAAACCAATACCTACTGGGAAAACAATGGTCAGATAATCTATTGCTGGGGTAAATCTGATCTGGCAGAACTTGCTGGTATGAAATTCATCAAATCAACTGCTGAAATAAACCTGGTCAGACCAGCAACTCTCTCAGTTTCTAATCATTGCTGATAACAAGCAATAACTGGAATTCCTAGTAAGCATAGAATGAGTTGCCATCAGAAGTAGTTGAAAACAGTACAAATGTTTAAGAGAGAAATCAATAATTTCCTGAAATATAAAGTGTGTGGTTAAGCTTGGTGTCTAAACATCTACATCCAATAAACAACAAAAAAACCTCTCATTTACCTAAAGATTAATATAACTACACTAAGCCTAGCCTGTAATAAGTAATAAGGCATAAAAAATATTTAATCCTAGCCTATCTAACTGAAATACAATAAATTAACTATTCTAAACTCTAAATAACAACAAAATAATGCTTATCATTTCCAGTCGAACATTATATTCTACTACTAGTAGTAACTTCTTGGTCCTTTACTTGATAAATAAATAGTAAATTGGCCAATAAATTCTTATAATTATACAGATGCTTTGCTGCCTAAACCAGTACTGTGTCTGTTGTATTCCAGCTGGCCTGAAAGGCCTTGGTACTGAGCAAAAGACTTCATCTGCAGTGGATAAGGTAGATATAATGTGGTTGACATAATTATAACATATTCTTCGCTACTTTCACTAGTAAGTTCTTAGAATAATCATGTTTCCAAAATTTAGCAACCCATGTGCATGATTCAATTCCTACAAGAAAGATGTGTGCTGGAAAAATAGAAAGATTAACAGAATATTAATTGTCCTTCAAGCTGTGATCAGGGTTCAATTCTTGGCTAGTTTTCTCCAATGACCAAAAGAATTAAACGAGACTTTAATTGATGTTCAAAATTGTTAGGGTTAAAGACATCTTTCAATGAATGGATGATCTGCAAGTGGTGGATTAAAATGGTTAGAAATACAAATTCAAATATTAGTAATATTTGAATTTGTATTTCTAACCATTTAATACGGTTTAAGCTCTAAGTAGACAATCATCAGAATACATATATATAATTTATTTTTGTTTTTTTAGAGTTAAGTATACATTTCTCATATAATCTTCCTGCTGCTTTTCATATAGTTAATTTTTGTTTAACATTGTTATTTAAGTGTAAGGGTGAGACTATCAATATGGAATTCATACTGCTTAAATCAACATAGAAAAAAATTTAATAGTGGATAACTAATTTAATTACAAAATGCTTTAAACAGTTGTTGCACTACTACAGTCTACTGATAGTTAACAACATAATGGCGATATTAAAGATTACCATTACAGTTCTGGAAGCCTAAGTAAATTATATTTTGATTTGAAATAAATTCCCATTCTCCACCAATTTATTAATTACCAAAAATAAGTTACTTGATTACATGATGTGTGAATTTTTTGTGGTAGAATTATAACTCTAAAAAACACTATTTCATTTCAGAGGTTGGTACTAATGTTTTTAACTAATTAAATAGTGACCAATAAGTCAAAAGCCTCATTGAGTCATGACTACAAATAAGTGTAGGACAAAAATCATGACCAGTGTCTCTTATATTTAGACTAACACTAAACATAATAGCCAAAATGGTAGGAATATTGAACAAGGATTTTTTCTTTTTGTTGAAATAGTTCTGCTATTTACATCAGATGAACAATGCAAAACTTAACACTTCAAACTGCATATTAAAAGTAACCCTAAAAATAAGTTTTGTAGTGAAGAATGTAGATACAAATGAATTTTGTGTCACGATACATTATAAAGAAAGAAAAATGACTGATTTTCTTTCCCAAAGAAATTTTCCTCAAATATCCTCATAATTTTGTGATTTTGCTTTCATAAACTGTGTCAATGTAGATGACAGACATAAATTTAATACTTCACTGGGCATGATTTGGATAAAGTACTAATCGACAAAACTACATACTTCCAAGTAATTTTGCTGATTCAATTGCCTTTTGGGATACCTCCTCTACGTCAACACCAACAGCTTTGGTATATTCTATCAGATTTTTTCTCGTGTTTCCTTCATCGCTTTCTTGCTTGGTATCAGCTGAAACACAACTATCCTGTTGTATTACCAAAGAATTAATGTTACTGTCATCAGTCTGGATTTTGTCTGATCTCTCATTGGGAAGCTGGGAAGCTTCTTTCTTCTGCTGGGTAACAGAAGTATCGTAGTTTGCATTAACATTTTCATAGTGTGCTGTGGTCAATCCAGTTTCATTTTTTTGTGTATTGCCAACTTCAAGATTAGAATTATCAATCTCGGGGCTTGGTCCTTCAACAACGTCACCTTTATGTTTTACTTTTACGTTTTCCCCGTCTCCTTCACGACCGTCTCTATTTTTTAAATTGATGCCATTATTCCAAATGTTTGAAATAAAATTCATGGCTCTAATTACTGCGTGACATACGGATATAACCAAAGTATATTATAATTTTAAACAGTCCAACTTAAACTTTTAAAATTCAATGTTATTGTAAGAACTATAGTCTACAAAGTTTAACTACGTTCTTCCTTATTATCTAAACTTATAAGCGCCCTCTGTTCAGTTCCTCTTAAATTTCTATACCATAATCCACAGTATATTTTATTAATATAATTTATATTTAACAAAGGCATACATTCGATTTGTACAACGAATTAAGCATGTAGTTCTTGAAGAAATTTAATCTTCTTGCAACACTATTTTACTGAATTAAAATTAATAACGTTAACATACTAATAATAAATCAAAAGAGGTTGTTCTTAAGCTCTATAAACATATAAATGTTTTCCTCAATTTGTTAAGGTGGATGTTTCATGTTCATCGAGTATTCTTAGAAATTTTCGCAAATATACGTTTCTAGCTGTATGTGTAATTTTAACAATAGAATTTTAGACATGGAATGTCAACAAATTACTTCGACCTAGTTACCTGTTATATATATGTATGTTACAGATTTCTTTTCACCAAAAGTAAAATTAAAAATATCATTTGTGATGTAGAAGCCTATTGAGTTCCTTGATTTGCCGCACTCTCTGCTGAGACCTACACTTTCGTTTATTCAAAACTTATAAGCACAGATTGTGTCAGCAAACCACAGAAATACAATTAGGCCTCTCATATAAGACTTTGGGGTTTTTTAGTCATTTTTAATTCAACACATATTGACCTAAATTAATTTAGGTGTGTGAATATTATAATGGTACTGCGCCTATAATATTGCTCTGGGTCATTCCCTTCTGGGGTCAAGTGCACTTTCGCGTAAGAAAAAATGCTGTACAAAACATGTTTGGTAAAGGCGGAGAATCATATCTTCTGTTAGAAGGTCAGGTGGTGCTTTTATACTGTATCTTCGCTGTTTTTCTGTTAGGATGAGTAGCGCATGCGTCCTGAAAGAGATGACGTTATTATATATATATATATTGTTGCGTCAGCAGTCACATGACTACAGTGACGCAACGTTTCTAGAATTATCATGTAATTTGGCGAATGCTCTAGTATTTACTAGTAGGGTAGG